AATACTGAGATCAAACCAGTGAAACACGTTAAATACCTCGGCGTCACGATCTCATATAATCTGAGCTGGAATACTCACTTAAACGACATAATCAAAAGAGCCAGAGGAGCGTTTTTTGCGCTCAAAGTCCTCCTGCATAAGAATTCAAAACTTGAGCTAGGAAATAAAAGAACTATCTATATACAAACGATTCGACCAATTCTTACGTATGCTTGCCCAGCCCTCACTACTATAAGCAACAACCTAAAAAAGAAGCTATCTACAACTGAAGGTAAATTTTTACGCACAATGACTGGCGCCCCAAGGGCGATTAGCAATAGATTACTCAGAAAAGACTTAAACATTGATGATATCAATTGCTTTATAGCTAAATTGACTACAAAATTTTATAGCGACGCAAAAACATGCACCACATCAGATTTCAATAAGTTGTTTCGAATTTCAGCCCAATTACCGCCTTTTTATGCTCAGACAGCATACTATCAAAATATTATTAACTTTATCATAAAGCTCTACTCAAGGGGATCTCCCCATTCCAAAGATGATTTTCACTTCGAAACTGAAGATTTACTTCTTTAAGGACTTGATTTGTCGCTACAACATACTACAACTTCAAAGATATTTAGGACCTCCTAGAATACGACAAAACAGAATCGATGAATCGGTTAGTGGCGCTTCGCGCCAAACGCCGAGATAACCCCAATATCCAGCATCCGTATAAATCATGCTTAACCTTTTAAAAAGTTAGCAAAATCTACCTAATATTTGAGAATTTAATATGTAGTACTATTTTAGTTAGTAAATTGGCCAGACGTCGAACGGCCCGTGTAGGGGGGAGGGAACTGTCCTTGCATCAGAAAGGTTCTGGGTTCGAATTCCGGGCAAGACATGGATGCTCTTTCCTTATCTGTCCTCACTGTGGGAGCGACGTTGGCCCACCTAATATGGTGCCCAGAAAGAGAGGCCAACAAAATCGCCCTGTATGTGCCTGAATTGACGGATGTTAACACAAGTGGGCATTGGGGAAAAAAATAATTGGCCAGACGAGTAAGCAATGTAAAATTAGAGTGGATTTCTACGTGATAAATATTAACCTCAAATAGAGTTTATAACTAACGCTCAAACGTTTAAAACCTTTCCATCAAAGAAAGTTATAGTATTGGTCTAATTAGCTCAGAAAATGCGATGATGTATGTTTAGTAGCTAGAAAAATTGATCAGGCCCTCGCTAAGAAAGTCTATTAAGATTTAAATATAATGTTTTATAAATGACTTTATGAATAATAAGTGTTTCAGGAATGAAACAATGAGTATAAAGACTGCAAACATTATTTATTTCTTCTTCCGTGGATGAATAATTTAATAAATTTGGAAAACTACAGTTCGGAACAATGGATCCAGTTTATTCCAGGAAAATAACTTTTCACAAATTCTGAAAATTGGACAATATAAAAAATTTAATTAATTTTGTTTATCATCGCGTGAATGAAGAAATTCTGACGTATAGGCTAACTTATTGGTCAGACCTTTCTTCAGAGAGGGGATATCATGTAAAGTTAAAAGAATTATATATAAAATATAATCCATAAAAAGAGCATATATTTAACGCGCAATCATTTAAAACCTTTACCACAAAGAAAGTAATAATATTGATCTAATTATCTCAGAAAATGTGCAGACGCCAACTGCCCCTGACGAGCCATATTTGTTTGATAAACGGTAAACAACTATAAATTAAAATTTGCAAATATTTGACTACTTTTGCTTACTTTTTAAACCGTTTAGCACGACTTAATTATATTGATACAACATACATTTCCAGGCTTGTGTGCTCAATTAAGGCTTATAAAACCTTGTCAAATAGAAGGACAGATGGCACAACACAGAGGAGGATATCACAATGAATGCATCAAGGGTTACAGCGGGATTCCAACCCTCCACCTCCACGCTTTACAGAGCGTTTGGCGGGCGATACCATACCTGGCAACTTTTAATCCCTTCCTTTATCATTTTTCCCAGTGGTATTAAAATGGAATTAAAACTTCAATTTTAAGCAAACAAATACGTTGTATTTGAGAAAACTTTGGTTGACGACCATGATAGTAACGCATATTATTATATGTACTTAATTTTTGTAAGAATAGTGGTGATCAAAATCATTTAAAAATTAAGTTTATAAAAGAAAAAAAAGTATCTATTTACTACCACTTTAAATATGAAAATGAAATCTTTCGAAAAATCCGGAAGAGTTAGCAGATATGCGATATTGCTCTGCCAGGGAGGCCCCTACTTAATTAAGTCCTAGTGTTTCGATTTTATTGGGCACCCGGGCCGCGAAGCCGCCCCTATCCCATTCATCTGGAATTTTAGAACAGTTTTGGTTGAACAATGAGGTAAGCAGGCAATGGAGTTGCTCCAACTTAATTAAAACAAAGTGGCGAATAATATAAGCTTTCGAATTAATTAGAAATAGTGGGGGATAAAAACCACATAAATTAAATTTTGTAAACCAAAAATCACTCATTAATAAACTACCACTCGAAAATATTTGCTGCCCGGAACAAGTTGGCATCTCTGGATTTGTTTTTAATAGCTTCGGAAATTGATCAGTCTCACGTTACTTAGATCTATTAATACTTAAATATATTGGTTAAAAAGATATAAAAACCCTCTTTCCAAGGTCAATCTCTCTCTTTTCTATCAATCCACCAGCATGTAATATTCTCAACATGGGGCTCTGAACCCTCATTTTAATAAAATTCTATTATTTCTCCATGTTTCTGAATTTATTTTCAATAATCACCGGCCACACTACCCATTTAATATGTTAATTGTTTCAAAGAGTAACAGATATATATACATACATTGCGAACCACTGCCTTTTTATTTTACTGTGATAATGATTTTAAATGCGATTCTCTTACCACAACCAAACTCGTCTTCGCCATCTTCGCAGTTTTTTATTCCATCGCAGACTTCACTCCGTGGAATACAAGTGATACGGTCACAACCGAAGCTATCTCTAGGATAACAATCCTCATATTCTGAAGGAAGAAAAATAATGAAAGTGATAAGGATTATATGAATAAGATGGAGAAGATGAATTTAAAACAGTTTTGTTAAGCACACTTATTCATTGGCCATTCAGATCAATATTCATTGGTAGGTCGGGATGGCCTGGATAGTAGGGAGTTATCCAATTTTCAAAACGTACTGAGTTTGAATTCCGCCGATCGAAGACTTACCATGTAAAAAATTGCGACTGTTGCATGCTAAATTTGTCGGGGTCACAAAGTCCTTTTAAGTTCCCGTAACAAATAAATGCCTCTGGGGGCTACTACTGGATCGGAGAATGATCTTTCTCTAGTTCAGGTCAAAATTACGATCTGCAAATGGATGAGAGATGTGGGAATGAGATCTCCCTTGTAACGTATGTGCGTGACAAAGTCGTATATTTGACCTTCTGTCACGCTAAAAACAAGGAGCACATTCCTCTGCCTTATATTCTCTTTAATCTACCGAAGCAAGGCTTGCTGGTATTGGCAGCAACGTATTTACTGGTGCAATAATTTTAAAAATTGTAAAATAATAAGGATATTTTTGAATAGGAAAAGAATCAGTATTTAAATTTAAGTTAAAACATCGTTTTAAATTAATAAATAAAAAATAAAAAAACAACAATAACATCCTAAGAACACTAGCACATAATAGCAGTTCTTTTTTATAATCTGTGGTACTGGACACTTTTCGGCTTTTTTAAAATTATGTATGTTAATTAAACTTTGGGTTTTTATTGAAAGTAGAAAACCATGAGAGTTGTATGGAGATATTTATCTTGTTTTTATCCCTACCCAGAACTTAGCAGTGAAATTGGAATGATATACTTCAAAAAATGAAAAGAAAAATTAATCATAATTTCAAAGCAGTACTTACGTTTGATTAAGAGAGAAAATAAAGAGGTAAGCTTCCAAGTTAAGATCAATAATAATAAAAATGTTAAATATATCTTAAAATATTACGCTTTAAAAGAAAACCTAAAACTATTTATCTTACCAATCTCTACTGCGTTGTAACTAGCATAAAATCCTTTATTTAGAAAATGGCTAGCTTTGAGTTTCATCCATAGGTGATTGCTTGTTGACTGAACAGAAAACGACTCCGAACTTCCGCAAATCAAGCGAATTGGACGACTTTTTTCAGTGTTTCCATCATTAATCTAGAATAGGATAAATACTATACCATTGCTGTTGATCGCAATATCATACCTGCCAACTTTTAATCCCTTCCATTATCATTTCTCCCAGTGGTATTAAAATGGAATTAAAACTTCAATTTTAAGCAAACAAATACGTTGCATTTGAAAAATTTCAAGTTGACAACCATGATTGTAACGCATATTAATATATGTGCTTCATTTTTGTAAGAATAGTGGTGATCAAAATCATTTAAAAATTAAGTTTATAAAAGAAATAATAGTATATATTTACTACCACTTTAAATATGAAAATAAAATCTTCGGGTAAATCCGGAAGAGTTGGCAGGTATGCAATATATAAAATGAAATGAACTAAGATGTTAAACTGAATCAGTGATCAATTATGCAGATCGGTTATGCAGGTCTGAATTATAAAGTAAGCGACCCCAGGCATACCCCCAATAATACTCCCGCCCTATAATTTTTAACTGGTGAGGGCAGTATAATTTTTATAGAGCCCTTACCAGTGACGTATATTTCAGAAAAATGGGCCAAGAATGGAAATTTTTTTTGACTGTTTATTTTTTTTTCTTCTATATATTATTATAAAAGTTAGAAAATGGTTTTTAATTACAAAAATAAAATTTTAAGTGCAATAACTACTGTATTTATAATTTTTACATTTACATAAAAAAGTAATGGATTACACACATCTTATTCAATCAAAATTTTGAAATTAAATACAGGGTGTTCATAAAGTCCCGGACCCATTTTGATGTTTAATAACTTATAAAATAATAAAGATAGATTCAAATTAATAACGTAAATGGTTAGATAGATTCAAAAAGTTTCATGATCCTTTCCAATGAACTTCCACGTGTGCTACCTTCGTCGCAAGTCGATAGTCAATTTCACGCCAGGTAGCGGCAAGCATGTCGGCATCCACAGAGGCTATTGCGGTTGTAATTCTGGCTTTTAGGTCATCAATGTTTGACACAATCCTCCTGCAAACATTGTCCTTTATAAATCCCCAAGGAAAAAAACTCCAGCGGCGTTATATCAGGTTATCTGGTTGGCCAAGGAATTGGACCTCCTCGCCCAATCCATCTTCCTGGAAAATGGTCATTCAAAGAACTACGAACGATGATTCCCCAATGAGGTGGTGCACCATGTTGTTGCAAAAAGACATGTGGCTGAAGCTCTTCTAGTTGTGGAAGTACGAAGTTTTCCAACATGTCTAAGAATACGACTGATGAGACCGTCTTTTCTGTAAAAAAGAAAGGCCCAATGACTCGGTCGTACATTAGTCCACACCACACATTAACCTTGGGGGATCCCTTTGTATCTCAAGGTATTCATGGGGGTTTTCAGATCCCATATGCGCACATTATGGGGATTAACATGCCAGATACATGAAAGAGCTGCATGATTCTTATCGCTTCCAAACAACGTAAAGATAAGTATCAGGAAAATATGCGAGTTACTTCAAAAGTTGCGTTATAGAGCTTACGTGATGATGCGTAAATCTGAGAGATGTCAAATTAAGCATAGATTACACAAAATCCCCATTTTCCCTAGTTAAGTTAAAAATTAAACGTTATTTTTAATCATTATCGGTTCTTTAGTGAATCATTACTTAAAAGGGTACCGGTTCTTTAGTGATTAGAAAAAAAAAGAATCTTACCTCTAGATAATCTTCACTACAACCATCACGATAAAAATGAGAGCCTATTTTTACATCGTGATAAGTAATATTAACCAGATATCCTGGTCTCAATCTTATTATATAAATGCATTCTGCTCCCAATATACGTCTGTTTTGTTGATAATATGGACTGTATATACTGCCATTAAACTCAGTCAGCACCCTGTTACAGTCTGAAAAATTATAATAATTTTAAGTCAAACGAAAAGAAATTATAAAAGTGACTATGTCACATAGAATCTGGGCCATTATGAGGCCTTTACCTTTTTAACAACAAAATCTAGGCTGAAATAAACAAAGAAATTATAAACAATAAGAACTCCGTATAGTTTTTCTATAGAAAGAACTCCACTCGCCAAGAAATCTAAGGCCGTCTGTTGTTATGGAAACAAGAAATAGCGCATTTCACAGAGGGGAGCTTCTTGCCCTGATTTTTTTTTCTCTCGCCGACACGAACCAAAACCTGTCTTAATCCGTTTTGTCCCGACTTTATATATTGAAATGATACAAGAAGTGGTTTTATGAAAAAGGTGGTATAATATATTATCGAAATTAATTGGTTTTTCTACTGCTAGGGCATTCAAAAAGTCTTTGATAGATCAAAAAGTACTTGCTCCAAATGGTTACCAATTTTATTCCAACTCAATTCAAGAAAGCTGAAGTTATTGAAAAATGGAAACCTAAATTAAAAGTGGTAAAATGTGGTGGTAAGTATACTTACCACGGCCTTCAAAAGGGTTAATTCACCCAGATAAATGAAAAATCTGAAAAATGTTTCCCACCACAATGAATGTCTTTGAAAAAAGGAACTGTCCTAAATATATGACGCTGGGCGTTAACCGGTTAATGATATAATACCGCTGCATAACCCCTTGACATACGAGACGTCTGGGAGACGTCATTTGTTTCTTATGTCAAAACAATAATTGACGTGTCTCAGACGTCGTCAGCACAGAGATGCCAACTTGCTGTTTTTTTTAAAAACTATTTTGGGATGTCCGGAGCAGTTGGCTTCTCTGTCAACATTTCGTTGCGAGTTGCTGTTTTCAGCGCAGTCAAAGATCATTTCTATATCAAGAAATAATTATTTCCCCACAGTTTAGATTTTGTTTAATGATATGCCAAAGGGTAAAAATAGTTAAACCTCTTCACTATAGTCACCGCCATTATTCCAGACGATTGCCTAGGAGAGTTCTTTACATAGACAAACCATAGTTCATACCTGCCAACTCTTCCGGTTTTTCCGGAAGATTTTAATTTTGTATTTAAAGTGGTACCGAAACTCATGTCATGTCATTAAAATTTTTAAATTATAATAATAATTTTAAATGAGCTTGACCACCACTACGTTTAAATAATTACAACAAATATATCAAAGCATACTAATCTTAACGATAGCGAATTTTAACCTAGTCAAAATACAAAATATTATATTTTTGAGTAAGGTTGTTTTTCTGTAATTGTTTCACTACCACTTGTAAAATTCATTCTCAGAAAGAGTGAAAGTTGGCAGGTATACGTGTTTCATACTTCGGTTCATTATAATATGAACAATAAATATATAAACTCGTCGCCAGTAATTGATTCGATACTTAAAAATATACCAATAAACTATCTTTAACCCTAGAGTGCCTGTTTTACGCAAAACAGCTGTGTAAAAAAAGTGGTATCAAAAATTTGCTTATATCAAGCGATTATTTCTTTCGGTTGCCACTTAGCTTTGAAAAAAAGTACCGTACTTTGACATTAGATCCTAATATAAATATTTACACTAAAAATAATGATCAGCGAATCCTCAGTGGTTATCGCACCACACAGTTCTCAGTGGTTGCTTGAAAACAGGTCGGTATCAGTTTGTCTGGAAAGTAAAGGCTATCTGTGCTCAATGCCGACAGTATTGCTATTTTGAGCAGCGATGGTTCAGGGGGAGGAGCGTTCGCCTTCCAATAAGGCGAACTGGGTTCGAATCCCAGTCGATACGAATTCCGCATCCGGCTTGTACCGACCACAGTGCTGATGTGAATTATCCTCAGTGGTAGACATATCACGGGTTAGAGTCTCCTTCCCATCAGACTGACCGTGAGAGGTTCTCGTGGTCTTCCTCTCCATGTAACGAAAATGCGGGTTAGCTCCATCAAAAAATCCTCCAAGGCAAATTTGTCCCAATACTAAATCCAGGAGTTCGCCTGTCTTCTGGATTTGGTTCAAAATCACAAAGCTACGCGTTGAACATTAGTAGTCGTAAACTAATAAAATTAGGTTGGCTATTCAACGACATAAATTTTTTTTTTATAAAATAAAAAGCATTGTCATTTTAATGCTGAAGCCCTTGGCTCACAATGAGCTGTTGCGGGACTATTTAACTTTTATATTATTAATTATATATTAGAGTAGTCAGAACTATCTTATTAAGTCCTAAATTACGGACAAAACCAAATGTAAAATTATAATCACTGGAAAGAACTGGATAGTACATCAAGGCAAAGCAGCTATTCTTTCAAGAAATGTGCCTTCCAAGACTATCAAACCACCTCGAGGTCAGTGTTCCTTTTCGACAATGTTAGAGGGTCGATATCGACTCCTGGGTTCTCGCCAGATGAGAATGCGTCTTGAGCCACCGTCCAGACTGAATCGCGACTCATCACTAGCAAAAAATCCGCCTACACTCATCTTCTGTCTAAGACTGGTGTTCTCGGCTCCGTGCTAGGCAGGTTCTTTTTGTGTTTCATAGTGAAAGAAACTACATGTCACCTGCATTGAGTTTCTGTTCGACTGTTATCCCTGAAATGGATATTTTTGATGCACTACACAGGATGCGAGTCAAATGTGTCACGGTCTCATCCGTTTTGACCTTGAAGTCTCAAGTAACGGTCTTGAGTCGATGGTGCTGCTCTTCATGCGAGATGAAATTATGGAAAACAAACTTTTACATAAAGAAATATCCGTCTTTTATGTGTATTGTAATATTTAAAGTCCGGTATCAAAGAGTTAGAGAACAATGATAGAGGTGAGGAAAAAATTGCGAGAGAAATGAATTTATTAATTAAATTATTCTAAATTATGAATATAAAAATAATACCTACTATGAGTGAAATTTAATGAGAAACCTGTCTTCATCCCATCGGCAAGCTGAGCTGCATTCACTTTGAAGTGGATTTCAACAACAGAAGATGTGGTTGTAAAATTGCGTAGTTGAGATTGAGAAGACAAATTAAAAACTTCGTTTTCTGGCAAGAATTTTATTGTTAAAACACCACCTGAAGCAGGCTGCAAACACTAAATAATAATCAAAACAAAAAAAGACATAATTTAATGTATGCTACAGAATCCTTATAATTTCAAAATTCTGATTAATTTATTAATACTAACAAATCAAAGGCATGATGTTTTTTTTTCTTCTGTGTTCAAGCCCTTTATACACTGCGATGACAAAAGTCATGGAATACCTTTAAATATCGTGTCGGATCTCCTCTAGCTCAAGGTAGTGTAGAAACTCGACGTGGTATGAACACAACAAACAGTAGGAAATCTTTTACAGGAATATTCATCCATGCATACTCAATAGATGGCCCATAATTGCGAAAATGTTGCGGGTGCACAGGATTTTGTGCACGAACTGGTCTCTCGATTATGTCCCATAAATGCTCGATGGGATTCATGTTGACAATTTAGGTAAGCAATTCATTCACTGGAATTATTCAGAATGTTCTTCAAACCAGCAGTCGCGATTAATGAAGACCAGTTAGCATGGCGCATTGACAGGCATAAAAATCCCATCATTGTTTGGGTGCGTGAAGTCCTTGAATGACTGTAAGTAGGTGAACGCGACCATTTACAGACAATGATCAGTGCAATCGGACCATAGGACCAAGTCCATGCCATGAAAAAGCAGTCCACACTATTATGGAGCCACAACCAGATTACACAGGGCATTGCTCACAACGCGGGTCTATGATTTCGTGGGATCTTTGCCACCCTCGAACTCTCCTATCATCTTAAATCGTAACTCATCTAACCCAGGGTCCAACCAATATGAGTCACGAGTCCAGGAAAGGTGCTGGACTTTATGTTGACCGGTTAGTAAAGGCGCTGCTGTCATATCCCATTACCGCCAAACTCCGGCTTACTGTCCAAACAGGCACATCCATTTTCTCGTCTCACATTTAAGCTTCTACAATTCAATTAACTGCTGCATTAATAAAATGTTATATACGCGTAGTGAAATATTTTTATGAAATTTTGATACGAAACAAGTTAAATACTCAAACAAATTAAATACAATAATACTCAATATTTAATAAATATTTTTAAATATTTATTCTTCAATTCTTATTTATATACGAGTCTCAACTTCCCCCTAGAATTCTGAGCCTACCGAGGAAGCAGTGGCGCCTACGATGGGGCGTAGATTCATGCTAATGAGGTGAAGGAAAATGAATTTCTTAAAGTTTTTAAAAATTAGGAAAACATTAAAATTCAAATTAAGATTCCCTCTTCATTTTTAATTTCGCACTTTTTGAAAGTTTTTTTTTCGTGGATTATTATTGTTATAATTGAATGGAATGCGTTTAATTACATGGAATTTATGTAAGATATACTTACTCCGTTATGTAAAGTAATGTTATTGAGTTGAATGAAAATCACATTCTTGTCTGGATTTTCCAAAGTCCAACATTTATGATAGAGCCTATCCCCTAAGATGGAGTAGGAATGAGAAATAGCGCCACTTAGGTCTTCTATTTTTTCGCAAGATGAATAGATCAAACCTAGAACATAAATATTTGATTTTAGTAAACTCAAATTTTGAAAGATTTTAACCTTTTGCACGCAGATTGGTTAACACTAGGTTTATGGTACGCGTCATTTTGAGTTTTGTAACGAAAATTACAAAACCAGATAGAAGTTTTATTTTATATCTTGTAATGACTTTTATCCATTGATCGAGGTAACTATATATTGAAGTCTATTTTCTTCAAAAGCGTTGAAATATTGAAATTTTCTTTGTGGTATACCTATCTCTATGCGTCTATTTGACGCGCTGGTAATTTAGACAAAATTTTGAGTAAACATGCAAACATCACATCAATAATAAATAGGAATGTACCGACAATACTTCGATCTAAGGCTCCTATACTATCAGAGCTGACCTATCAAGCAATATTGAAGCAAACAAGTTCGCAAGTTAACGTTATTTTACTATTCGTTATGCAGAGATGCCAACTGCTGCGGACACGCCAAAATAATTTAAAAAACGGTAAATAACTACAAAGTAAATTTTGCAAATAGTTGACAATATTTGCTTGCTTTTAAAAATGTAAAGCATGTAAAAATTACTATAAAGTGGTGAATTATATAAGCCTACGCATTGTTTAGAAATAATGGTGGATTAAAATCTACTAAATTGAACTTATGAAACCAAGAATTACAATTAATAAACTACCACTTGAAAATATTTATTCGCTGTGCTTATGATAACTCTTCGCTCCAACAATAAATGATAGGTCGGCCTGTCTAATTCAGGGGCTCTACTTCGATCCGTTATCCGATATCGTTATCTCAAATGAAACAAGCGATAAACAACTGTTGCCGATAAGCAATAATCGAAAGAACAAACGCAGAATGTCAATTGATTTCAGATTTTGAAGGTTTCAGTTATTTAGTTCGATTATTGAAAAAAAAATACAAGAATATTTCATAAATATATATCTCATATCTACATTTTTTTCTTGACTTGGCGGTGAGAACAGTTTTACGTTTGGTTCAGTTCTCATGAGAGTCAAAACAAAGATGAATAAATGCAAAGGGAATTTTTATTTTATTTTTATATATTTTTTGTGTGATTAGAAACGATAGTTTAATCTTTGATGTGAAAAAGACTGAAATACAATCTGTGAACTTTGATAATTAAATTTACGGACAGAAAAACATGCTGGAAAGTTCTTAAAAGAACATCTTATTATTTCATAAACAGAAAGATTTCGTCTTTCTAACTACAATCATAATTAGAATCGTCCAAGACACGGACGAGAGAGGTTGTTCCTCGAATACGGATCTCTACTACAATAGATTACGAAGACATCGACGGATCTGCAGGTGCAGGACAGAAAATACTGGTAGAAGAACTATTNGGTTTGGCTTACTTTTGAAAGAGTTATCGCTATTTTTGTGATTTTTCCTTAATTTATGATAACCAGTGTAGTTCTTCTACCAGTATTTTTTCTATTCCCGTACCAGTATTTTCACTTTTCCCGGCGTGAACGTGTTAATTCACTGCCGTAACTAAATTGAAGACAAAATCTGTTTATAACTCTTTTTGTAACCACAAAAATGTTCCAGTTGCATTGTTAATTCTCAGTATTTTGGCGATTAGATATATTATTTTCAAACTTAATATTGACTGCGGGAGGGGGGGGGAGGTGAGTGGCTTTGTTCTAGGCTATCTTATGTTTCTATAAATCGCCATCCACGGTTCTCTTCCCATGCTCCTAATTGTCCGTTGGGAACAATTCACTTACTTATAATTTTCAATTCTTGGCGTAGGTACTGGAAGCTTAGGCTCTAAGCCCCAACTCTAATTAATCGTTTTTCTAGAGAACATAACAAGAATGTTTCTTTTGATCTCTTTAAAAGACTTTCTTTAGTTTATAATTTTTGAATCGGCCATGTTGAATACAATAAGATTTACATAATAAATCAAATTTTCCTAAACGACTTTATTTCTTTTTCTGGGATCCCTCCTTCATATCTAAATTGAAATGTATCTGAAACGGCCATAATAAAATAATACTGCAATGATACTACCTCCCCTAACCGCTAAAAATGGACTAACCATCCCCATGATATGATTGGTGCCTTCATAATTATGTTTGCAGATACCGGAATATTCTATCTTCTTTCAGTGTTGTTGTTGTTTCGAATCCCCAAGAGGTCCATCCTAATTAGACCAATTCCATAAGTCCAAAAATGTCCAGGAAGTCTAAAAACAGATAAGGTTTTGAAAAAACCTCGTCGATCTTAAAATCGATACAGTTTAGAATATGCTCGGACGAAGCCTGAGCAGTCCTACATTTAGTGCAAAGTCCAAAAGTCTTTTGCCCCTGAACATACGAGAGACACCTCAAGTGACCACTTGCAAAGCGAGATAAACAAGTCTGCTGGCTTCTAGGTCCCTCAATTTCAGTAATCCTCTTCTTTCAGTAATTATACCTAGATCCGAAGGTGAAGGATATGAAATTTTAATTTGTTAGTAGAAGCTATCATTAAAATAGTTTCTTAACAACAAAATTGATACCAGTTTTAAATTTTTTCTAGGTGTGTTCGAACTACTGTAAATTTGTAACAACATGGCGTGTTATATCCATGTTTTAAATATTTAGCCTTAATAATGGATAGAATTATTTTAAATCAAAATTATTAAACGAAGAATCATTGAGTATAACATAAATTTTGAAACGAGTAAATAAAAGATTCGTCCAGAAAGCAACACTACGTAGCATATTAGCCTATGGAATTCCTTTAAATCTTTTATACGTAATTAATAGAAATAATTTAAAATCAATGACACCGAAATTCTGGAATTTTAAAATCATGACGCACGTGAGGAAACTAAGAATGTGTACGAACATTTACACGGCCAACGAAGGCACCTCAGTACCTGTGTGATGTTTGCGGACACATTGGGTGAAATTAAAATTAAGTAGGATTAAACTAGTAATTAGTTATTAATGAAATTGAGAAAAGTTAAAAAAGAAAAAAGAAAGGACAGCGCAATCATAACAACACACAGAGAATTAAATAACGCATGGGATTAATAGAGGTATACACCGAAGAGCCATTACATTATGACCATTGAAGAGTCATTACATTACATTACTAATAACATGTAGGACCACCTTTAGCCCTCAAAACTGCTAGCATCCGCCGTGGCATTGATACCATAAGGTGCTGATAGGTAGTCTGAGGTATCTGGTACCAAGCGCTCACCAACTGGTCCTGCAATTCCCTCACATTGCGAGCGGGTAGCGTGGCAGCACGAATTTGGTTTTCCAAGTAGGATCACAAATGCTCTATTGGATTAAGGTCAGGTGAATTGGGGGCCAAGACATGACTTGAAAATCACTGGAATGTTCCTTGAACCAATCCATGACGACTCGACCCTTATGACATGGTGCATTATCCTGTTGGTAACCACCATCTCCCGCAGAAAAAACTGTTGTCATGAATGGGTGAACCTGGTCTGCAACTATGTTCAAGTAGCTTCAGACGTCAGGGATTGTGCTATGAGGATTATGGGTCCTAATGTGCCCCATGAAAACATTGCTCCTGGGCTAGAAACCATGAAAAGCTGGGCGAGCCCGTTGTTATAGATGGAGGATGGTCATAATGTAATGGCTCTTCGGTGTATATATATCATACATGTTACTGTGAATAAGCGTTTTGTTAAGCTAAGGAGATAGAAAAAAAATATTCATTTTTTCATGTAAGTGTTCTCATATATATGTTACTGTGAATGACCGAAATTGGTGGTTGTTAAATTCCACCGGTGAATGTTGACCGATTTGGTAAAAAAACCGAACCGACCGGTGAATAGCCGATTTGGTAAAAAACCGAAATATATACGAGGTCTAGTTAAATGACACTGCCCGGTGTACCCTAAATC